ACATACAAACAAACTCAGATCATTCTATTCTCAGAGTTACGAGGTAATGATTCTCAAGATAGACAAGAATTTAAATATATAGGAAAAATAGCAAGTAAAAGTTACACGCCAATTTTTCGTTTTTATAATATATTAATTAACAAAATTAATATAGTTGACAGTTTTGGTTTTGCGAAATCATAGTGTGTAACATTCGTATTGAACCCCTTACCCCTAGATTCTAAATTCAATTGAAGTCATATGTTTCACAACATAAAAAAGATCAACGATCGATTTTGTCACATGTGATAAAACGAATGTCCACTATGCTGACATTCAATAGTTTTCCTGGTACCTCCCCTAAACACCTTTTTGGTAATGATGTTTATGCCGTGTATTCTCTACGTCTGATTTTTGATTTAAAAGAAAAATTCATAAACAAATAATAGAACAAGTTTTTCTCATATCATATGAAAGAAATCTGAAAAATAATGTCCATAAAGGGTAATTCTAGAACTCTTTCAATGTCATCTATTTCCTCCCATCATAAATCAAATTCATTGATAAATTCACCCTCAACAATCAGTAAAGATTCTTCTGACAAAAATAAATTATTTAACAAAGTCAATAACAAAAAAATTAGGTCAATAACTAGTGAATCAATTGAACAATCAATAAAAACAGATAATAATTGCAACATCGCTAAATCATTAAATAATAAAAATACGAACAAAAATTTAATTGACTCTGTTTTTTCTGATGAATTTATTGATGATAAAGACTTTCAAATTAACAATTCACCAATTTCATTTGACAATTATGATTATGATGGTAATGGCAGAGATATAGATGACGCGGATGATTATGAGAACTTTGATGATGATGACGGTGATGATGACGACGATGACGATGGTGATGATGATGATGGTAAAATAAATACAACTGTATCGGAAGAAAATTTGTCTTTTATTGACATTAAAAAGGATAAAAAAGATAATAAAAATATTTTTAAAAATTCCTCAACTATAACAAGGTCTAGAGCAACATCATTTTCTTCTATAAAATCGCCTACAATAAACACAACAAATGAAAATTCATCTTCTAGACGAGCATCAAAAGCATTGTCGATAATATCAGATACGAATGCTTTTAATCCTTCTACTCCTGTCAAATCTCGTACATTACCTTTACCCAATAGTAAAAATAATAACAATAAAAAAGAAATTGAAAAAATCATTTATTCTGCTAAACAAAAACAATTTTCAATGATTACACAATCAAATTCAACATCAAAATCATCCAATGAGTTTATAAAATCACAAAATTCGGGTGTAAAAACATCTTCGCCAACTACAAAGCCTCCTGCTGCAAGGAAAAATAACACGACAAAAAAACCAACAACAATAACTACTGCTAATAATTTGACAAGGAAATCTTCAAAAGACAGTGATGCAACAACTACTACAACCATTAATCATAGAATCTCCCCAACATTATCTACTTATACAATTAACACTGAAACTAATTTGGAGGAAATGGATTTAGATCAATTAGAACATCTATTTTTGGATGGTAATCGTTCCCCATCTTTATTATCAAATTATTCTTCATATGTGCCATGGAAACCCGGTGTTCCGATTAAGCAACAAGACCCATTATTATTATCGAAAGAAGAAGATGTAATTGGGACCGCTGATTGTGGAGACCAGTCTCTAGTTTTAACTGATCATTTTATTGAACTGGATGAACAAGTAAATTAATATATAATTTTTTTTGAATAAAAAAAGATTAGAAAACGAAGTAATAAATATATATATATTTTGTTATTTAAATTTTGTATCAATGATTATTAGATGAAAACAGGATTGAAATTAATTCAAGACGCATATAACAGAAAATTTTCTTCGCTGTCTAATTCATTGGATCTAGAAAAAAAAAAGGTAAGCTCAAATATATTTATATTTATTTTTCATTATATACATTTATTAAAAAAAGGAGATTTATTAAAAAATAATTATATTAATTAGAAGGGATCAAATAATAGTGAAGTTTCACAACTTCGACAAAAAATAAGAGAATTAAGCGATTCTTTGTTCAAAGAAGAGGAGGAAAAAAATGAAATTTTACATTCTAAAAACTCCTTACTTGACCAATATAATAAATTATGTGATGAAGTAAATACTTTCGTTTTAATAAATCTTTTTTTTTTTGATTAAAATTTATATTTATTTATATGCAACAATTTTGTAGCATCAACATTGTTTAAATAAATCCTCTGAAAGAAACAATGTAAATGGTTCTAGTAGTAGAATTATTAGTGTTTTAAATAGTGGTAAAAATGAATTACGAAATTATCTCAAGACGTTACCGATGGATGCAAGACGGGCTTTGTAAGTTTTTTTTTTAACGTCAAAATAAAATTAAAAAAGGAGGTACATACTAACAATTTATTTATCACTATAAAAAAATCTTTTTTTTTATTTCTTTTATGAAAGATTGTCAGAATTTTTAGATTGTTGTCATCCTCACGATATACATATGCAGCAAGCACTTTTAGATTATTATGTGAAGACAACATTCGACGTAATTGGTACTTTGCCAAATGATTTAAACACAATTATTTTGTCACGTTTAACCGCTGAAGATTTAAGTAATGCTAGGCTAGTGTCTAGACGTTGGAGAGAAATGGTTAAAGAACCAAATCTTTGGAAAGAAAAATGTTTAGTAATAACCAAAGAAGATCCTGTACCACTAGTTTATCCATCCGATTCCAAACTATGGGAAACCATCTATCATGGGTTACATTTTCGTGAATATAATTGGTCAACTGGTAATGTACAAACAATAAAACTTTATAAAGGTCACACATCTTTTGTAACTTCATTGAAACTCAAGAAGCATACTTTGATAACGGGAAGTCATGATGAAACTTTGAGAATTTGGGATATGAGAATTGGAAAGTGTACAAAAATTATACAATGTAAAGCTATTAGTTGTATAGATTTTGTATCAGATTTAAGAATGGTCGCAGCAGGATTTAATGATCAAGGGTAATTTATATATTTAAAAAGTTATATTTGTGCATATTGTGCATCGAATTTAAATTTTTGTCAATTTTAAATTGACATGCATGAAATTTAACTAGCCAATCAATAAAAAGAAAACCGCACTTAAAAACCTCATTTTTATTAAATATATATACATAATTTAATTATATCAATTATAATCCATTTAATTTATTAGTCGTGCTCAGGTATGGCATATGGACTCTGGAGAAGTTTTATTAACGTTGGCTGGTCACAATCGTGGAATAAGAAGTTTAACAATGAATAAAAAATATATTCTTACTGCTGGACACGATATGTCAGTCATTGCTTGGGATTTAAGTGGAAATAAAATTCATACTTTCAGAGGCTTTGGAAATATGGTAGATATCAATATTATGTTAAAACCTTTTTATAAAAACTTTTCTAAAATAATTTATTCATTATTTATTTAGCTTTTGGGAATTCAAATTATTGGAGAAAACAATTTTATTGCAGTTAATAGTGATGGATGGATTCGTACATTTTCGATCGAAGAAAAAAGTCTAAAAAATCAATATAAATTATCAGACAGTTCACATATTTATTGGTTTTCAGCATCAGGAATGGATTTAACTTGTTCTACAACACGTACAATATATAAATTAAGATGGCAAAGTAAATTTGTTAAAACAGGGCAAAAAACAGAAAAGGGAATTGAAGAGGTTATTATTGAGCCAGATTTACAATCTGATCCTATTATTAAACAAAAAATATCATCAGTAGCAGAAATCTTTTGTGGGGCAACTGATAATAACAAAGATAGAATTGTTGTTAGTACAAGATTTAACAGTCGCACAAATAACAACAAAAGCATTTATGTATACACAAATGATAAAGGTATGAACAGATTTTGTGGTTTGTGGGAACATATGTCTGATCAATTAGCAACTAATAATATGGGACCTGTGTCTATGGATCTCGATCATGAAAAAGTTGTAATTGGTTCAGCAAGTGGGATGATTTATGCCATGGGGTTTGTTGGTGATAAAGATTTCAATAACTAGTATTATATATGTAAATTTTTTTTATAAAACTTAAGAGGAAAAGATAATGAAATTGTTATATATTATTATTATATATATATATATATATATATATATACACACACGGAAAAGATTAATATAGAAAACATTTTATTTTATTTTCCTTTCTTCGAGTAAGTGTTGGAGCCTATCATGATAATGATTTCTGTTTTTATTTTTTTTTTATTTGGTCAATTATATTTGCCATCAAAACATTTATTATACTTGCTGCAATCATCAAGATTATACATGTTGTCAAAATTAATTTGGCTTTGACCCAATTTCCCAAAATCAATTTTTAATTGCGTAAAAAAAGTCACTTGATTGAGTCAAGTGATCAACCTATTTCTGCCACATGTATAATCAAGATCATTATTTTGGCTTGCCATAAATCATATCAATTATTTGAAGTGAAATGATGTGTTGGTGATGACAATGATCTATTTTCACAAAAACCAAGAGTTCATATTATCAATATTTAATACGGCTCTCAATATCACGACTATAGGTGCTGCCCTAGAGTTTCGAACGGGTCGGGTTTCTTATATTTCGGGTCGGATCATAAATTTCATTTTACTCGCGGGTCACACGGGTCAAATGCTATATTAATACAGCCCTTGTCTTATTGGGGTGTTAGATATAAGAGGACCCAGCGAACTTCAGTAAGTTTAATATAATTTGACCCATAATATATACTAACATTAAAATTTTAAAACTATCTACTATTAACTGATTATCATAATTCGCTGATTTTATATTTTTGCTATATACACAAAATCTTTGGTTCCCTAATAAATCGTTGACTACTAATATATTTGACCTAATACAGTCAGACCTCCATAAATGCACGCTATGTCTTGGATCCAACCTCGGGAATTGGGGATAAATGCACACCCTCCATACTCTGCACTGCACGATATTTTTCAGTCCACTCATATGAAACTCTCTCCATAAATGCACCCACGTGATTAATGTATATATAAACCTAGGGGTAGGGGGGTTCAATACGAATGTTACACACTATGATTTCGCAAAACCAAAACTGTCCACTATATTAATTT